TGCTACTCTACTGACTAGGGGGCAAAACCCCCACCACAGAACAGGTTCATGAAGAGGGGAACGAACACGCTGTGCTAGGCTCTTTTTTAAGCAAGTAGTGGCCACCCATATCAAAGCTGCTATTTGGCCTGCAGCGAAGAGTTTGACATGCTTAAGCGCTACAGCAGGCTAGCCCCAACCTCTGTCTGCAGTGCTGCCAATGGCTTTTTCAGTTTTCACTGCTTTGACCTGCAAGGCAGCTGGAGGCAATTCAGCTCTCCGCCATCGCAGGGCATCTCAGATACATGAAGGGGAAGCACCAGTTCAGCCAGCCCCTTTAACTAAGTTGGTGCAAATGACAGAAAAGATGGGACCTGCTGCTGCAGCCCTCCAGAGAGCGTATCATCTTACACTTCTCCCAAGTACTTTGAGCTCCGCTCTCCAGCCCTGCTGCCTGAGAGCCGTCTCACACACCTGTCCTGGAGCACAGCTGCGTAGGAGACGCAGTCACAGGTTCCAAGGGGAGAAACGGTGTTTTTCAGATGTGAAAAAATGTGGATCTCATTTAGTCTTGCTGCTGGTTGGGGACAGGTATATTGCCTGATTACCACCACCGCCCCGACAGACCGAATGCAGGAGGTACGCTGGATCCCTTCCCCCTCCCCAGCCCCCTCCCGACGAAGTTACGACGCTGCAGAGAAAAGAAAAAAAAGGGAAAGCAATCGGTGTTCAACTTATCAAACTTGGTTCAAGTCTCAGTTCAAATCAAGGTTAAATAGGCCTGTTCTAAGCCTCCTAAAGACAGGATTTATTTAGTAATTACAGTAATGGAAACTGATCTTTATAATTTTCATACTGCCTAAAATTCTGCTGTGTCATATGCATCTGCAGAAGCCGAGAACTGTGCTTCTCAGAGAGCACTGTAATCTTGAAAGCAGCCATTCAGAGGTATAATGGAGAATTATCAGAGCATGAGTATGCCCAGGATATAATGAACCACAAAGAGCAAGAATCATAAATCCTGGGGAAAGCAGACAGTGTGTATTTGAGACAAGCAGTATGTTTGAATTATTTTGTTTTGTTGGGAGTTTGTGGAAATAGATCTTCATCGCAGATGGTGCAAACAGCATTTAGACTGCCCCTTTTTATTTGTATATTTCCTTTCTTTTTCTTTGCTAAAGTCTGAGGTCTAGAGAAAGAACATGGTGCAAAATGCATCTTGGCCAGACAGACTCCTCATATCCACTTTCCAGTTGTCCCTGTTCTGCAAGGAAAAATACAGGAGGGCTAAGTCTTTGCTGTACGGTAAAGAACAACTTCAGAAGATCTGGAGATCTGATAGGGGGTTTGGCTCCACCTTCAGGAAGCAGGAGGCAAAGAGAAGGCATGGCTTTAATCGCAGACGTACTTTCTGCAGAAAAGAAAGCCCACAACTTCTCTCATAGACATCTATTCCTCCCTAATGTGTCTTTCCTTCATATATTAAAAAAAAAAAAAAAATCCCTGATCTGATACTGTGACGTTTCTACATATTGATTCAGTTCTGAAGTCTAACTCCTCCTGGAGAACTTAAGAACACGTGGAAGAAAGGCTGCAAGTAGTTGATACAGGAATAGACAGAGCTGATGTATGAACAAAAGCCAAAGAAAAGCAGTTTCGAGGTGAAAAAAGGTTGTCACACTAGGATGCTGTAGAACTGTAGGGACTATTACAAGCTATTTACACTTTCAATGCTAAGGTTTCCACAGGGAACGCAATTTTCTTTTTTAATTCATGGAGACTAGAAAGGCTCGCTGGGTAATGCAGATGGGTTTGAGGGGAAGAAAGTGGGAAGAGTCTTGATCAGATTTCAGCCTAGCAAAGCTCTTAAGCATATGCCTAAAGTTAAGCCTTTTTCCTCCCCAGATCTGGGCAGTACTTGCAGAAGAGGCAAACAGACCATTTCCTTGAATTTCACCTCTGGCAGACTCTGATGCAGGTTGAAAAAGCACATGCCCAGAACATAACAGCTGCTTAAAAAGCATGATTTAAATGAATTAAAATGATGCATTTTTTTAAAGAAGCCATATAGTGACCATTTATAATAATGAAAATGGAAAAGTAGTTACAGATGAGACTACACCGAGTTTGAAAGACTATATGATGTATTAGTGAAATAATAGGCAACCACACAATTTGCGACAGTCCTACAAGGCAATGTAAATGTATGGTCACTTGCAAAATCTTGCCTTTGGCATTTGCCCAGTTGGGTGCTTAAGCACCCAACCTTATTGTTTTCAACATCATTTTGTGGAGAAAACAGATCTGAAAACTGCAGAGGAAGCAACAGGAATGGCTCTCAATGCAGAGATGGACTAAACACCTAAGGAATCTGAAAATATATATCAAAAAAACTGAGAAGACATGCAAGAAGTCTGAGTAGACATAGCTGCGTAAGCAAATATAACTGAATATACTCCTGAGGAACAAAGGAAACAATTCTTGATGGGGTGACAACAGATGTTCTCCAAAAAAATTCTAATGGAGCATTTCAAACACAAAGACGTTCCTGTGGAGCTGAGAAGTTTTACTGGCAGGCATACAGTAATACATCTTTGGAAACATAATAAAACCTAACATTTTAAGGTGTTATCAGGTTCTGAGAGCAGAAGTGATATCTTCATGAATTAAGTGGTGGGTGCTGGTAGAGAGGAAAACAGTTAAGATAACAAAATATTGTCACAGGAAGTTGCCATAGCATTGTCTTAATTGCCAGAGGAATAGCTAGCCAGAGAATTTGCATTCTAAAGTATCTCTAAACCCATTCTCTTTGGAAATGTGCTCTGCACACAAGTGAAAGATGCACAGGTTGACTTAATCAAACAAGTACAATTCAGAGTAATTTATTAATACTGTATGCTTTTGCACTGTGTGAGTGAATGCAGCGTGCCCAAAGCTGATGTTTTTACTACTTCCTGTACTTTCACATCATGGTTAAGTACACTGCAGAAAATCCTAAAACAGAGACACAAAAAAAGACAAGTTTATGGAGTCATGGTTTTGCAATGACTGAACTGCACTGGCACTTAGGGAAGATTTGGATTTAATTCCTGGCTTGGATCTGCAGCATCTTCAACAAATAGCTTTATACAGGTTTTTAAAGGCTAGGCACTTCAACTTCTTTTTTTGAACTCTGGCCTTTATTCTTCACGTTCTCTATTTTACAGACACAGAACAATAGGTCTTTAGCTTTAGCTTGTTGGAATGCTGAAAGGATTCCTGAATATCTGCAAAACAAGCAGATTATCATCTTATTTGGGAGTGAGGCAGGAGGATGACATAGTACATGTTTGATTATTTTTACTGTTTTGCAACCGTTTGGGGGAAAAGCTACAACCCAGGGAGAAGAGCATTCTCGTGCAGGAGGAGCAATCAGAACTACAGAAACACTAGGCTGGGCAACTTGATTGACAGGTGAATGACAAAGCAGGCAGCAACACAGAAAATCATCATAGGACAGACATTTCGATAAATATTACTGTAGCCAATTTATTATTAACACAGTAGGACAGCTTTACATCTTGCATCACGCTTTTCACAGTCCTTATGGTAAACATGCCATATCTGACAATTACAAGATGAAAAGAAAGACCTCACTAACTCTCTACTGGCCCTGCAGTACTATCTGCTTCCTCAGTTAACCCCCTCTAAACTTCAGCTATGCAGCTAAATAAGCATATAGAAACACAAGCGTGTTCAGGCATGGCACATAATTCCAACAGTATCCAATACAAGTTGCAAAGTTATGTTACCTGTGACGCTAATTTCTAAAAGGCTTCACAGACAAAGCAGAGAGATGTGAAAGAGAAGTGGAGAGTTGTTAGTGCAGGACCAGAGAATTAAGTAGAATGAAGTCTAAAGGGAACAGAAAATAAAATTTGCTACGACTCAAAGCATTTTCGTCTGGTCACCTCTGGCTTCATTATCCCCGGTGTGAAAAAACAAGGCAGACCTGACACAAATGTGCACTGGCATAACAGAAGATCAGGATGAAAGAATCCTGTATCGTTCTTTATTTCCCAGGTTAGTTGACATAAAGGAATAACATACATTTGTTTCTACAGAAACACTAACTTAATAACTAACTTAACAACTCTTTCTCTCTGATGACAATTTTATTTTTAGGAGAAACAAACTATCTGATGGACCTCATAACTAAACGTATTTTCATCTGATTCGCACAAAATAGCTCCTGTTTTCTTGTACAGATAACGAAGCACAACACGGCCTGCTGAAGCCCATGAGTCAAGCCCTCTGCTGCTTGTACACATGAAGGTGTATTTTAGAATGAAACCTTGTGTGAGAGAGTTGCCCAAGGCTTTTTTATTTTACTGTTCATGATATTGTCCTCTTTTCACAGCTGTATCATCGACCTCAGGTTTAAAAAACAAAGGCAGACAAGTCACAGGGTGATCTTAATCATGGAATTTTATTTGATTCAAATATTTCTTTTCTGTCCATTTTCCTGTATCTTTTTGAAAATGTGAATTTCAGAAAAAAAAAACCTGACATGCACAAAGAGCGTTCAGTGAAAGAGAGACAAAAGGGAGATGCAGTGAATATAAGAAAAGTAAACGAAGCTAACAGAGAGTTCTTGTCTCTTTGAACCCACACGTAAAATGCACGTTAGCAGGTATTGCAGAACTATGTCTTAAGTGAAGGAAAGTAGAAATGTTAAGCATAAGGTACTCCTTGTGGTTCATTCTCATTATGTGATAGGTATTCCAGTTACGCTTATTTGGACAAAAACAGGATTGCTTTGCAAAACTTTCTGTGCACCAGTCTTAATGTAGGTTGAAAAGAGACTAAAAACCAGAAATTGCACTTTAAAAAAATCAGTTTAGGAATCTGGTTTATGTAATTCTCTTAAAACTACTGATTGCAGACACATTAATAACATTTTAAGAGTTTCATCTAAAACAACCTCCCCTCCTCTCAGATTATTAAAAAAAAAAATCTACGCTATTAAAATGAACTTCTCATTCAGTTACTCCAGGTTTTCATAAGAAGGTGAAAGGAATATTTGAAATTAGTCAAATAGTAGGAAGATTCTGTTGAAACTGTTTCTGTCTCAGTGTGCATATATATATTTAAAGGAAAATCTAGGTAAATCTTAGCTGTCCTAAAGGATTTGGTAAAACAACTTTGAAGGACACAGAATGTATTTCACTGAAACACAATTCATTTATCAACAAGTACACACTTGAAAGAAGAAATTTTCAAGGGCTTTATTAATGCAAAGAATTCACATTTCTGACATTCTGTATCTGCAAAACAGACACAAATTTCTTGTCGGAAAAAGGCGGCATGCATTTCAATATGGATGGTTGCAAGGGGGGGGGGAATCAAAATAAGCAAAGCAATTATGCCCTATTCTAACCTCAGCGCACTCCAACATCCACCTTCCTTTCTGAGATGCGTCACATACGGATCTTTTTTTTTTAATCCATATTCCTACTGTTGATCAGGACTGATCAAATTTTGCAACCTTACAAAGATTGTTCTTTAACCTTAATGGGAAAAAATCTTCAAGTGAATGGAATTTCATAGCGATTCATAGTGGACTTTCAGCACAAAATTTAGGGCCATGTGGTTTTTAACTAACATGATAGAAAGAAAAGCAATTTGTGTTTTAGGGTTTTTAAGTTAACTTTCAAACTGCCACGAATAGTTCTGGAATCAGATCCCAGGGGTAATTCTGGCCTACTAACATCCATGTCTCATCAATTTCAACGGACTAAGAATCAGCAAAGATGTTCTGCTGAACAATTCCTTCCCCGCTTAACCCTGTGAATTATACTGAGATGCCGAATGTCAACAGTGCAAATTACAAAAGTCTGCATACTTCACAAATGATACAACATAGCAGCAAACTGTGTGCTCACAGAAATAGAGCAGTCACAAAGAAAGTTGGCACCTTTGAGGTAAATTCATTCTCCTGATGAATTTTCATATTTTATCATCTTTGTTCAATGTACAACATTTAATATACAGTTCTGATGAAGTATAATTAATAAGTCATCAGCAATTTCAGTGGACGACTGGATCCATCTGTAAAATTAGATGCATACGTGACACTTACTGCCAGGGTTAAGGATACGTCTGCATTTTTCTGAAAGTTGCATTGGTAATAGTGAGCCTCGTAAGCCTTGCTCCATAGTAATCTATAATATAACTAGAGCCATCAGAAGGTCCAACGATCTGCAAGAGAAAAAGAACCAAGACTTTTCAATATGAAGTGAAATATACACTTTGTGCTAACATCTCAATTACTGCTAATTTTCCCATCATAAAATTAGTCATGCTTAATTAGTCAAACAGAAACTAGATTTATTTTAAAGTTATGCTGTAGTTTAACTATTTTAGTGAACGCTGTCTCTGAAGGAACATCTCTCTAGGGCTCCTAATCAACCAAATTACACAGGCCGGCTGTGGTGCTGGTTTAAGCTGATGAGGATTTGAGTCACAAAATCAGGCCAGCGAATGAGTGGGCTCCAAAGCACTCTTCCTGAACAAAGGAGGGTAGGAAATGCTGCACAGGTAAGGAACAAGAAGGAAGAGAGAAGATCGTGGCTTCGTTGTTCTGGAACTGATAAATTGATGCAGGGTCAAAAGGCAGATGAATAAAGAGAGATGAAAGCTACCCACAACTCTATCTGTAATTGATATGAGACAAGATCACAGCTGTAGTATAGAAAGAAATTTGAGAATATATGTAATTTGAAAGACTAGTGATATAAAAAGACTGCTATATTGCTATATAAAAAATGTAATTTTATATTTCTCTATAAACACATTTAAAGAATTTCTACGTCCACAATGCATTCTAAGTTTGTCAAAGTCAATTTATAATCCATGCTAAATGGATGCACTGTAGAATAAGACAACTTGGCAAGTTCATGATGTCATAAGGTGTCACCCCAGCTAGGGATTTAACCACTAAGAATCCCACAGTCATGCGTCTCGGGTGATATGGGACTTCTATATAGAGGAGAGGCAGGAAAAAAAGTGGCAAGGTCTTCTTTCCTGCATGCTGTCTGGACACCCCAGGTGATGGGCTCCATCAGCAATTAAACACATGCAAGCACAGAACTTCACAGGCAGTTCTTATTTCAGGAACACCAGGACATCTCATGTAATTCTAACCCTATATGTCACACAAAAAGCTCATCAGTTCTGACACAATTAATTTACAGTGCTATAGCTTCCAGGCTATGGTCAAGTGGTAGACTCATTACAGGTATTCAGAGATAGCTCAACTATCTAAATTTTAATTCAAACTACGTTCATATTTTGTATTCATAACATCAATTTATGCTAAAAAAAATGCCTTGATTCTTCAATATACCAAAGGAAAAGTTCTTAAGGGTGAAATGCTAACAAACACTTAGGGATCAAATCAAAGCTTTAACAAACAACAACAGATTTGTATCTTGTTTCGAAAGCATCGACTTACCTGCATTGAAATAAGTATGAAATCAATTAGGCTACCAATTCCACAAAATCCTACAGTGCAGAACTTTAGCAAACCTAAGAAAGGGAAACAAAATTTAATTGCCTCTTTAAGCTAGTTACTATAAAGTTCATAGGTTTCTGGTGGCAATCACATCCAAATTCTCTTCTCATTCTACAAAATATATATACTTCTAAGAACAGAAGTAAAATTAAAGATCTTTAACCATGAAAAAACAACCTGTATATTCATATTTCTGCACTACCCTGAAGACACTTGAAAGATTTTAAACATAACTTTTTTTAAACAGACAAAAATTCTTTGAAGGGAAAGGCAGAAGTTAATAAATAAGTTACTAAAAATGTTCCTTTCTTTGTGTAGATATAGTCAGAAAAAAATCCCAACTCAAGCTAGAAAATTTGTTTTTGAATAGAGGAGGACTTTGTCCCATCTCTTAAGTCACAGCATACTGATTAGATTTTCTCCAAAACATGCTGCTTTGGAGAACCATTCTTAGTATCATTTTTACATTTCTGCTGAAATAGGATTTTACACACACACACACACACATATATATATATGCATATACATGTACACACACACACACATAAAACACTTATGCTTAGTCACTATTCATAAGTAGTGAGGGATTCTTTCGTATGAAAAAATGAAAGGTTAATAGAAAAGATATGGGAATAGCGATTAACTTTCTCACAGTGCGAGATCTCCATGAAAGGCAGACATCACATTTGGAAGAAAAAGGCTATGTAAGAATTTTTTAAAATATCAACAGTTTCGCGTACAATGAATGTAATACAATGAGTATTATATTTATTGCAAGACAATACTTCAGCTTCCAGCTGGACAAACATTTAGGCTATTTTGAGAATGAAGCGCTCATTTGGAAGACATTTGCAACTTTACCCAGAAACAGAAAGTTTGAAGAGAAATACAAAGCTTTTGCAGTTAAGTTAGTTGTAAGCTGTGCTGTACAGGATTTGAAAAAGTTCCTTGCTAAAGAGCATATCCTCGTTAATGCTTACAGGGGCTGGCACACTTTTGATGCCAAAGACAAGCACGCTGACACCCTCAGCCAGTGCGGCATCCCATGCCACCTTTTCCCCACGGAAGTCAGGACTGCTGCACGTTGTGCTGTTCTACCTTCCATTAAAAAAGCAGACATTTTCCAAAGAGCGAGCCTGCTTTCAAGCAAGCACCTGAAGGTCTCCAGACCTCTTCCTCCTCTTTCTCGCTCCCCCTCTCTCAGGAGCAGCAATCTGTCTGGCATACCTCCTCCTCTCCCCTTGTGCCCTGTTTATGTGGCTGCGTATGGAGGAGAGAGAATTTGATGCTTGCATAGAGTGGGGGGAGTAACTGCTTGCACGCTGTAGGAAGAGCATCCCACCATCTGGGGATAGCTGCCATAGCTGACACAGTGAAACTAGCCTGATTTATAAACTCTAGGAGAGAGTTTATAATCTCTCTACGGAAGAGGAGAAGTCAGACAGAACCTAACTGGGAAAATATACCTAATGACTACAAGGATGAAAGAGTAGTGGCAGGATGGTCTTTCACCTGATTAAAAGGAAAGTCCATAAACATATTACAGCTGAAGCGCTGCCACTTAAATCTGCAAAAAAAAAAAAGTATATCAATGCTTAAAACAATTTGTTCCCAGTGGCTGAGGCGTGAGACTTCCAGCAATCAAACATAGTTAGCCTGGATATTAGTATTGGCAGTAGCATTAAAAAAAAAAACAAAAGGGAAACAGCCAGCTAAAGAAATGCTCGCCTTAGGAAACAACAGTTAAGTCAACTAAATAACATCAAACTCTTTGGTGAACATAATTCATTGCATCATTATCTCTGCATCAAGTGAAGTCACCATTTAAAATATTTATTTGTGACACTTATACCATCTCCTCTCAAGCTCCAGTACTCAACACCACTGTCAGTTGGTGACTTGGAAATCCAGCAGCTCTCCAGGGCTGGTTCCAGCAGCAGTTCCAATTAACTTGAGCAACTGGCTGCATCCTGGTGAGCCATTCTCCATTACGTTCCTGGGTGTAGAAGCACTGTTTGCGAAACCTGGCATATGTTTCTAGAGTGTAGGGTAAAGTTGATTTTTTGTTTCTTCCTCCTTGCTTCCCTCCCCACAAGCAGATTACTCGGAGAAAATAAACTGTTCTGAAGCATGGAGGAAAAAAATAGTGCAATAACTTACGGTTTAGTTCACAGCGTGTGGGAGAGGAAGGGGTTGCCTTCCATACAATTTTACTAGTTTCTTCATATTCAATAGTTTATTTGTTATTTGTGCTCCCTTTAAGCACAAGACAAGGAATAAAAATAAATGAAAGAGTATTTAAAGTTTTCATTACACTTGCACAAAATATTTCAAGGCTATTACCTTTCTGTAGCACAGCTTTTGCCAAGGCATGGACGACCTAAAAAAGTAACCACTGGCAAGAAATTCAGTTTACTGATTTTATCTTTCTGCATTTCTACTCTTATGTATTTGCTTTTTTCCTCTTTACCTTTCAAAAGCTTAAAAACTTGCCATCATAACTTTGGTTACTGGTTATAGTATATTCCAGTAGGGCTGGCAAGCATGAAACATATAGGACTTCTATAATAAGAATACAGTATTCATAAATCTACAATATATTAAAAGTAATCACTGCAAATTGTTATTCCAAATCCAATGCTAGAATACATTTTCAGTCATGGATGTAACAAAAAATGTGTACCTTATCAACCGCTTCCAAAAATATATCTTTTTGTGAGACAGATGGACAAAATAAGTGCTAATTATAGAATCTCAAGGAAAAAAGACACATATGTTAACATATGCTTAGCCAGAAGGACAGATAATAATCTTTAAAAACCCAGGAGTTTGCATATAATGGGCAAAAATGCAAAACTCCCAACAGAAGTGACACTAACATGTATAGCTTTTTCCCGGTTTATTGTTCCATGCTATCTAGACTTAAATGTGCTTCCCTTTATCTGGCTCAGTAATAAACAAAGAAAATCCTAGACACTGAAAGTAGTTCTAACATACTAAGGTATGTGCATAATTTAAAAGCCAGTGGCACCATCGCCCTGAGAATCAGGTCCTAAAAGCACTACCAGAGGTAGTTCTTATTAAACATCACAGCTTTTGCAGAACTGCTGCTAAGACTATGTGCTATCTTGAATGTACGTGTTTTTAGGAATAAATTCTGTGTCCCAAAACACTAGGTTTATTGTAAAGTTTGTGCACTATTTCCCTGGTAAAATCAAGCATCATTTAAGTAGCTGGTACATCAGTCAAAACCGCTTCTGTTCAGAGCCTCAGAGAGAATGCAGTTGTAAACGTCAATGTAAAGCAAAACTACGAATGGCAATAATCATGCTTGCTTGTGCAGGTTTTATCTGCTAGACAAGCATGCATCCATTTGTCACCACTCACTCCAACAGCTAGATTTTACTTCATATCCATTCTGAGCGGTAAAAACACAGAGTAGAAGGCCGAGGTATATACTGTAGGATTTTATTTGACAGGGAAGTAAGGGCTCTAGTTGTAAGTATGAAAACAATGACAGTCAGAGGTCATTACTCAAAATATAAGTATACACATACAACTTAGTTAAACAATAACCTTTACCCCAAAGAAAAAAATAAGGAATAAACTCACCTAAGGCAGGGTAGCCTAGATAAAATCTATCTGCTCCCAGCCATCCAAGAAATAAAGACAGAGCCACTGCCACTTTGTAGGAGTATCCATTTCTGCCAAAAGACACAAGTAATGTAGACAATGACTGCAAAAATATATTCACTCATAAGCATATTTTTGAAATTTAAAGCAATGATTCATTTGCTTGGTGCCTCAGTTTGCAAAAAAAAAAAAAAAAAAAGACGACTTATTTATCTTCAATTAATGGACAAAGAATTGATAATGTTCAGCTTTCAAACTGGCGAGGCATCCTCCATAAAGCAACCTCAGCCACTGCAACTCAAGTATACTCTTGCAGAATACAGATTCTTAATTTGAAACTAAATCATCATTCCTTGTCAAGAGCGCTATAATTCAGTTGCTGATACATTCCCATTTACAGAGCACTTCCTAGTAGTTCAGCCCTACTGAGACAACACTGGAAAGCTGAGAGGTGCATGCATACTGTCCGTAGCCATTAGTTTCACATCCAGCCAAGAAGACAGAACAGGATACACAGGTGAGATGTCAGTAAAGACAATAATTGTGATTAGACTTGAAGAAGACATGAACCATGGCCACTAGCTGAAGAAGCTGCAGGAAGCAGTTAGCCAAAGGAGGGTACGAGACAAAACTATCCATTTACACAGCAAAGGTAGTAAACGGCATACATTCTTACAAATGAAGAGAACTGTTGGCCACACAAAGATGTATTGTGGTAGAGGTACCCTAAAGTTAAGCATCCTGTTGTTAGGCACACAACATACACAGATACAAGCAGCAGAATCCTCAGATTTTCTGAGATTTACACTAATCGACCCCATTCCTGCCAACAGTTGGAGTGGCGTGGACACCTAACCACCAGTAATTTTCAGTCACTCCTGATGTGAACTTTATGCTAATAAGCATGCTAGCTGGAAACACATAGCTATTAATCCTAGAATTATCCTTTGCTGCACCGGGGAACAGCTAGCCTTTGAAAAGGAACGCAAACACAAATGTAATTAGAACTTTAAAAATATTCAATAATTCACTGTTCTGACACGTGCATTACCATGTGGCAGCAACTACCTAATAAGCCCAAATTAAACTCTTGGTTAACAGCTGAATAAAACTTACAGCTTCACAAAGACAGTAGCTGAGAAATCCAAGCACCTTTATTAAGCACTTTTAATGCCAAATAAAGATCTACATTTTTGCTTATTATCTAGATTTATTGACTTTAAAACTTAATGGCAACATTAAGTGATTAAACCATGACTCTTACCTCAATATTTGTTACTTAGTGCTTATTAGCAACATAGAACATACTGGGCCTTCCTGGAACCTAATGTAATGTAAATTACCTTCTTCAGAAATATCTTGTTTCCACTGTAAAGAACACTGATGGTTTTATTTAAAAGTTGAGGTAAACTTTCGGAAATTATTTATCAACTGCCAAGTGTCAACAAGCCTCCAAGGACACTAAAGCATAAAACAACTCTCATGTAAAAGGTAGGAACGCAATTTAATTTGAGATGTTCCTGATCAAACACAGTAATAAAGTAAACCAAGCACTTGCCTATGCATTGAGATGTTTTTAAAAGGAGAACAGTCTGCAACCTAGTCAACAGGAAACTGAAAGGGCAGAAGAGATATAGTATGAAGTAGAAGCATGTTCATACTGTACCAAGCCTGCACCCACTCCTGTATTTCCTTTGCCTTACTCATTCTCTTGGCGAAAAATAAACCCTCAAGACTAACACAGCAAGTAGGGAAATAACACTTGCCGGTCATCTAAAGGAATTTCTACAATTGGATAAAAGACGTAATTTCTTTTCAGTTACTCTTCTGAATTTTTCTTCTATTTCTGTTTCTCAGCATCATCCAATCTTTATTCTCTCTGCATACGTTTCTCCCAGTTACTATGCTAAAAACTTTTTCTTCTTGCTCTCCATGCCCGTTGATACTAAGCAAGTACTGCTATAGGTCACGTTGGTTTCTGTGCTCTTTCAGGGTCTCTTATCAATCCTTAAGGACCTGACCCCAGCGAACTTCATAAATTTTACAGACAGTCATTTTAAGGACTCGTTGCCTGGAACGAGAATACTGGAATGATGGATGCATTCAAGTCTGCAGAATCAGGGCCTGTGCACATTAAGCAAAATACAAAATATCGTGCCAGTTTAGACAACTCTAGAATTTAGCAAAAATCTACCACCAAAAATCAAATTAAAATCAAACCAAAGCAAACCTAACTCCCCCCTCCTCCTTTGCTGGAGCAAACTTCCTAGTACTTACAAACTTGTCCTGGAACAAACACTAGGAGCAACTGTCATCGGCATGCCCATTTAAACATACATACCACATAGTGTGCTAGTCTTGTACTAAAAGCTAGCACTGTCCAACTTTCTGGATTCCAGAACTGTAATCTGGACTGCTGCTACACTAGGTTTTGGCTATGGACAACTTGCTGATTAGCCCCTTCCTACAGGTAGGAACAGACATTAACCTACAGCCCCCATGCTAGGACAGTCCTGCCATGGAAAGATGCTTTCTCAAACCAATTTTCTGATTCAAATTATGTGCAGCTGTTTCTTCTTGAAGACAGTTACAACTTCCAAAAAAACTCAAATACGATGCTCTAAAAAAGCAGTAGAAGGGGCAGATTTATTGTTGTAATATCAAGCTGGAGATTCCTGTCTGAAATAATGTTTCTGAGACTTGGGTAATATTTAAAATGCCTTATAAAAGGCTGATGTAATGAACAGCGATTACACAACTTTTTAACAAACATACATATGAAAGATGGCAATATTAATCTTTTTGCTGTTTTTACTTGGCTTTGGGACTTTATTAAGGGGATGCTTGCATAACTCTTCCTACAGTCATAGTTGGACTTTAATGGAGTTTTCAGCATGTCCACAAAAGTTTCTCTTCCCCTCTGCCATACAAGAGTCCCAGGACAGGAAAAGCCACAGCAAGTTCTTTTGGTAGTAGAGCCATTCATGATTTTATCAAAAATAATAGTCATCACGAAACAGCAGTCATCGTAAGAAGCACACCATTTTTACTGCCTACTGAAAAGGTAACATAGAAAGACCCCTATACTGTCTTTTGAAGTTCTAAATCCATACACATAAAGAAAACACAAATTTACAAGAGTTACTAGAAAAAACAGTAAACAAAAATGAATATATACAACAAGCCCAAACATAAGAATTACATCTATTTCAAAAATTAAGTCGTTTTTATTAAACTAGTATAACTCATCCTTCTCTCAGTCCCCATCACAGATGGGACAGAAATGCAATTGCTTCTGGATAAAAATGTGACTAAGTCTAGTTTGCTAGCATTTACATTTGATTAGATATAATAATATGTTTCCTTGAATTCACTGAGCTTTGACTGTTGAAAAGACTACGTACAGAGCAAATACTGATGAAACTGAGAGGCAGAGCTGTGCCCCTGAGTTAGGCAAACTGTTGAGCACTACGTACCACTTCAGAGTTAGTTGCCCACTAGAGTGACGAGGAATACTCTGGAGGATTACTGATTATAATTGCCAAAGACTCCACAGTCGGACAAAAGAAAAAAGCTCCTGCGTGAATCCCATAAAAGAGAAACAAATGGTACTGACAGGTGTTCTCTGATCATTAACACTAGCCAGTTGGAACATTTGTTGGTATCCATTGCTCGTGATCTGTTTCAGAAAAACTAAGTCCATCATTTCCACGTTGAAGAAACAGGCCCTTAAGAGACACACTGCACTTTGATTATACAAAAAGGTTCTTTAAGAAGAGAGAGTAGGTCCTCTGAAAGAGATTTTCAGGGAGCTAGAGAAAGACTCCAGCTCCCCCACTATTCATGTACAATACAGCCTAAACTGCAGTTTCACACAGGCTTCAAACTGGCATGAACCAGCAGCAGTGGTGCTGAACAGAGCAGCCCAGCCCAGCCCAGCCCTCCTGCTCATCCGCTCTCTCTTACGCTGGTGTTGCCCTCACCCTTGTGCTGGCACAAGCACTGATGTGACTGTACCGCAGCTCACACTGGGGAACTGCTCCCAGTGGGTTCAAACCCAGATGAGTTTGCCCTGATTCAGTATACAATGGGGTATGCCAGGTGAAGGGATGGAGAGGGGTCCTCAGACTGCACCTTTAAGCAGCTGTGCTGATTTGCAGCATATGTGAAAAAGGAACCTTAGCATTCGTGGCAAATCTTCAGTAGGGTAAGTACTAAGGTAAAGCAAAGACACAAACATAATTAAACAAACAAACAAGTGTCCAACATAGAGACAGATTTACGTATAAACATGTATATGTTATCATTGAACTATTTATAATGTTTATTAGAACATTAAGTACTGTGCAACATCTGTGCTGTGTTCTATCTCATTTCTCTTTTTTCTTCTGCCAACACATCATACTATTTTAGAAAAACTTCAGTGTGAAAATAAAGGCAAACTATTACAAAACACAGTAATGTACTTACACGTTTCGACATGCAATAGGCTTGTAAAATCCAACTTCATTTCCAGTAAAGACTTTTTCTATGCCAAGGTGATCTTTACAGGTAATATTTGGTGCTGGCAGACATTGAACTGAGGACAGAAAAATTATTCAAATTTACGCAAAAATCAGTCTGGGATTGTGGCATTTTTCTAACAAGCCATATGACATAGTGAAGTAAACAAATGAAGTTATACTGTGCAACGGTCACGATACGCAACATTGTATACAAGGGCTTGTGTGACTGAATTGTTTAAAGCCAGACCTACGACTAACTTGTCTTTTTGCATGATACATACTAAGCAAAATATACAAGTCTAATTGCTCCCCTAATTCTGTTGCAATTTCTGGTTTTGTTCCATTCTGAATCAATGAAGGGTCTGAACTGGATACACAGAAAACATTTTCCTCTTGAGAAGAGTCGAGCATTGGAACAAGCTGCCCAGAGAGGTGGTGCAATCTCCATCCTTGGAGGTTTTCAAGATCTGACTGAACAAAGACTGGAGCAACCTCACGTGAATGCAGTGCTGACACTGCTCTGAGCAGAAGGTTGTTGGATGATAGGACTTCCTGGGGTCTCTTCTCACCTAAGCTATTCTGTAATTCTAATCTACGGCTTGACTCATAAAAGAACCAAAGTGGAAATCACAGAACAAAGTGACATCTGCCAGAAGTCTGCAATATATTACCAGAACATTAATCACCATCCAATGTTGAAATTGTTTCAAAGGGCAAAAATCCAATCCTTCCTCCACTTTCTATTACTAGCTTTCTATTACTGCCTTTCAGTACTTTTGAGTTCTATCTAACTTCCAGCCATGTTCAATATTTCTTTCCTGATTTTCCAGTAACACTTACAGGAAGACTACAAATGGATTTGGTTGGCTTTCTTTTTAAATATCAGTCCATACTGCATAGGGACAAAAAAAAAAATTTAGTATCAGCTAGTCAGGATCAGTAACACCTGAAAAACATGAGCCGTACCTAGACTACATGGATGTTACTGCTTAATGTGCCTAATCTGAGAGGATTATAAAAAGCCACATTCTGTCTTAGAAAAAAAAATAAGGAAAGATAGCAAAAGATTATGTTATTTAGAAGAAACCCACAGCAGTCAAAACGTATTCAGAGAGTAAAGGCCACGTCTTTTCCTGTCAATATTATGCCAGTAAGCCTCCAAACGTGCTACCAAATGAGATTACTCAGATGCTTGGAATTAAACTCATATTTGCTTTGGTGATGGGACCTAGAAAAACGTTTAGAGATTGCTGTTCTTCAACTGTGATCTAGATTAACTTTTTATTACTTAGATAGTACTGAAAAGGAAGGTTCAGATACTTGTGGGGACCATTTAAAGACAGTTATATGCATAAAAACTCTACATTGACATAGAAAAGAATAAGCAATTAAGCAGCTTTCCTCACTCTGAAGCTTATCTCCTGTTCAAAAGCATACTGCATTAAATACAAACATCCACTAATTAGTTAGACACAGTTAACAAATTGAGTTGTGAAGCATCTCCAGCTACAGAATACTCTGACTGACTGCTTACAATCAGGGACAAGATGTCCAAGATCACAGAATCACAGAATGGTTGAGGTTGGAAGGGACCTCTGGAGATCATCTAGTCCAACCCTTCTGCTCAAGCAGCGTCCTCTAGAGCATATTGCCCAGGATCACATCCAGACGGGTTTTGAATATCTCCAGCGAAGCAGACTCCACTACCTCTCTGGGCAACCTGTTCCAATGCTCTGTCACCCTCACAGTGAAGAAGTTTTTTCTCAGGTTCAGATAAGGTAAAGGACTCAGTAACTTAAAGGAGGACCCATTTTGGATATTACTCTGAAAGGTATTTGAAAAAGCTTGACTACCTCGAGCATCTGAGTGAATAAAATTATTCATTGTTTATAGAAAGTGAAATAAGGGAGATGATAAGCATAGATGTGTATTTTGAGTGCACGTAAAGCAAAAGTGTTATACTATTAGCTAACCTGCAAGGACCATTTATTTCAAAGCCTGAGAACATCAGACAAGCTAAAAACAGGTAGTAAACCAAGTGACCAATTTAAGTATTCATCTGCTGTACTCAAATGAGCATCAGACTTCAAAATCAAAACATATGCAAGGGCTTTCAAAACAAGAGTCTAATGACACCACAAACTCCTGATAATGACATACACCATTTTTCCCTAAAAGAAATTAAAAAGGAAGATTTTGAGGCTCTTATGCCTCATGCCAATTCTTCTTCTAATAAGCATATGCAAAATCTAGTATGACAGAAATAAGTTGTTTTAATCACTGTAGCGAAGGATGGAGCTGAGAGGATATAACAGAAATTGCAGAGATTTACCAAAAACCTCACTTACAATTATACTAATGAAAGACAATGCATTTCTTCATTTTTAGTAAAGCATCCAATCTGCACAAGTGTTTTAGGCTATCAGAATAATGCAATGACATTACTGATTCCACGTTTTAAAAAGATCATCTAGCAGATATACAAATGCATAAACTGAACACATTCTTGGAAAACGTTGTTACCGTCAATGTATGTCAGAGGTTGAAAATCCTTACCATATGCAGTGTGATTTGTACAGTTCATTGGTTCCTGCGTACTATTGTCTATTTTAGGATCATCACAAATATATGTTCAGCTAATTGAGGAAAACATTTTTCATATCAACCACTACTACAGGCTTAGTGTTAATTTATTCCACCCTCTTTAACCCCTGAGGATTTAAGATGTACCTTGATGTCAGTATTCCTTTCTACCCGCCCCCCAAAATACGAACAGCATGTTACTATACAGCAAATCTGCCAAATCAATTTAATACATAAATACATTGCATAAGCTTCACATTTAATTAGTGCTGCAGTCAGCACTACCTGAAAGCACTACTACATTTATCAGTCCTGGCCGCTGCATTCAAAGGCTGCAAGACAGCACAACTAATCTCGTCTTCTTCCCTTATCTCGCTATCAGAGCGCATTTAAATTGAGGTTATTTGGTTGAGAAAATTAGATCTCCAATAACATCCAAAACTCAAAAGCGAACATCTGAAAACGGGCACGCGAATGGCCAGGATTCGGGACTAGAATAAACCTGAGCAGCGACCAACTTGCAGAGGTCTCAAGTCCTGCGGCCAAGCAAAGCGGAGGACGAAGTTAACTTTTCCAGGGTTTGCTCTCCGGGCACCTTTGAGGCGCAGCTACGCCGACAGCTGCCGCCTGCTAGCAGCCCAGGCTTTCTCGGCGAGGCCTGACGCGCCCTGGCAGAGCCGGCAGCCCCTGACACCCGTTAACGTGGGCTGCCGAGGCAGACAGGCTCGATTTGTGCAAAGTCATTGCATCGCCCTACAGTGTCCTGAAAAATAAGAAGGGTGATGATGGTAGTGGGGGGTTGTCTCACATCCCGCAGGGTTTTACCGCTGAAAATCCGAGAGACACCCCAAAGAGACGCACGCCACCCCCAAAAATCAAGCTTAAAAAATCACCCCGCTCCATTTCCTAGCCGAAATCCCCC